GGAACCAGAGACATCAATTGACAAATGAGGACAACTACAAACCAAAAAGAGGGAAAAAACTGTGTCATTATAGAACTTCCAGATGGTAGGGAAGTCAAGACAACTACAAGATAGAACGGACTGTTCTAAACTTGGGAAAAAAACTATAAATCACAGAGTAACCTCAAAGAAAAATGATAAACCTTCACATCAAAATAAAAAAGAGGACCAGCACAAATATTTAACAAATACTAAATCAATAGCAACAGAAGAAGTGATAACACAATTCATAAACAAAACAGGCTCAGCATAGAAAATTATATGAAACAAAGAAATCAACACCACAAAAAGCACATAACAAAAATGACAGCAACAAATTCATATTTACTGATAATTACATATCTGGCAATGGACTTATCTCTAAGATTTATAGAAAACTCCAATGCCTCAACACCAAAGGAATTAACAATCCATTTGAAAAATAAGCATAAGATATGAATAGACCCTTCACCAAGGAGGATATTCAGGTGGCCAGCTAATACATGAAGAGACGCTCACAATCATTGGCTATTAGAGAGATGAAAATCAAAACAACAATGAGATACCATCTCAACCCAGCACTGATGGCAAGGTTCAATGAGACAGGAAATAACAAATGCTGGCAGGGATGTGGAGAGATTGGGACTCTCATACACTGCTGGTTGGACTGTGAAGTGATACAACCACTGTGGAAAGCAATATGGCTATTCCTTAGAAAGCTGGAATTGGAGACACCATTTGACCCAGCAATTCCATTATTAGGTATATATCCTAGAGAGGTGAGAGCCAGGACAGAAACAGATATATGCACCTTCATGTTTACCGCAGCACTATTTACAATAGCAAAAAGATGGAAACAACCTAAGTGCCCATCAGCAGAAGAGTGGATGACCAAACTATGGTACATACACATAATGGAATGCTACACAGCATTAAAGAATAGTGTAGAGTCTGCAAAACACTGCATAATATGGGTGAACTTGGAGGACATTATGCTGAGTGAAATAAGTCAATCACAGAA